TCATTAATTGTCTTCATATCAAAGTTGAATATACCTATGTATTCTTACTTCTCCTATTCTCACTTCTTACTTCTCCATTCCTGTGATGCTTCACTAAGAATAATGTGTTCCACCTCCATCCAGTTTAGTACAAATGCTGTAAAATCTTCATTTTTTTTGATGGCTGAATACTTGAATTTGATTTTTTAACATTTTTTAGTTTGGATTAATATGAAGGTACATATGTATGATTAGGTTATATTGTTTGTGTTTATATGGTGAAGACCTAGGTGTAGTTAAGTCCCACCCAGGAAGGAAGTGTGCCATATACTTCTACATTGTACACATTCAATAGAAGCTTACCAAATCCCCTTCCTCCTTGGATTTAATGGTATTTTTCTCTCTTGTGGATTAGTAGTTGTTGATCTACTAGTTTAAACTTAGTACTCCGTACATGGGATGCTTTATTTTACATTCTTGAGATCTCCAACTCCATTCTGATAAATAAAAGGGTGCGAAATCGCAATACTTTTTATGCCTGAATAGTATTCCATGGTATAAATATACTAGAGTTTATTAATCCATTCATGGGTTGCTGGGCACTTGGATTGTTTCCATATCTTTGCAATTATGAATTGAGCTGCTATAAGCATTTGAGTTCAAATGTTCTTTTGGTAAATTGATTTTTTTTCTTCTGGATAGATACTTAGTAATAGATCTGTAGGAACAAATGAGAGATCTACTTTTAGTTATTTGAAGAGTCTCCATACTTCTTTACAAAAAAGTTCTACGAGTATGCAATCCCACCAACATTACTGTTCCCCTCTCTCTGTAGGCATGCCAGTATCTGATTCTTTGAGACCTTGTAATGTGGGCTAGTCTCATTCTCACTGGAGTTAGGTGACATCTCTAACAGGTTTTGATTTGAATTTCTCTGATGATCAGTGAAAATGACTATTTAAAAAATGTGTTTGTTGTCCATTTGTCTATATTCTTGGGAGAGGGTTTTGTTCATGTCTCTTGCCCAAATTTTAATGGGGTTGTTTGTTCTTTTCTTGTTGATTTGCCCAACTTCTTTGTAGATTCTGGATATTAGCCTTTATAAATTTAACTTTTATTAAATAATTGTATACATATATGGGGTACAATATGATGATTTTGTATATAATGTGGAATGCTTAAATCAAACTGAATAACATAACCATCACCTTACTTACTTATTTTTTGTGGTATGACATTTATAATATATTCTTAGTTGTATTGAAATGTACCCTTGCATTGTGCACATTAGATGAGATCCCACCAAATACCCTCCCTCTTCTTACTTTCTCCCATCCCTTCTCCCCTCCCTCCTGCTTCCTCCTTATTTCTGAACTAGATTTGTGTTTTATCATTTGTATGAATGTGTAAGTGATTATATATTGTTTTTATAATAGTATTGAGTATATTGGATACTCCCCCCCGCCACATTCGTGGGATACTGTACTAAGAAGAATATGTTTCAGCTCCATC